TGTCCCTCATCGCCAGTCAGCTCTGACTGAAACCGTCATCGGACCATCAACCGTGCGTAAGAAGGCAGATGGAGACAGGCGTCTACCAGAGGGAGGGGCCTGAGTCAGCTCAGACCAGCCATTTATGGACCAGTTTCCCAGCTCTGTTTTCTTCTCTGACGAGAGGCTCAGGCCCAGCCAGGGAAGCTGAGTCAGGAGTGGGAGAGCCCCTGATTCCGTTCAGTGGCTCTTCCACTGGCCAGGGTACCAGCCATTTCTTCTCTCGGGGCCTCAACTCCCGTCCTGAGTGAAACAAGAGGGCTGGACTAGCCGACCACCCGGGGCGTCTGTCAGCCCCACGCTTCACAGCTGGAGTCTGACAAGCCCTGCGAAGGCACTGGGACCACACATCTGTCAGGTGATGCAAGAGACCGGGTTTGGGGGAGTGCCGGGCGGAGGGCCCCATTGTAGGCCATTCTGCAGGCTGCAGAGCTCAGCCCTCGGTCAGCTCTGTGACTGCGGCCAGGCGACCCGGCCGGCCGCTGCTCGGCCCCCTCGCTGGTGCGGACTCCCACACCTCCCAGCGCTGCGCGCAAGAGGGCACGAGGCTCCGCACGGAGGGTCCTGGAACTGGGCCCGCCGGGCGCAGCGCGACTTGAGCTGCGTGAGCCACTTGGCCTCCCGGCTGCTCGCCCCCAGACGGCCCTCCCGAGGAGCCCGAGAAAGCCTCTCCGAGGAGTCTCACTTCCCAGAGCGGCTGGTCTCCGCCAGCCCTGAACATCACGCAGGACTGAGAGACAGCCCTTCAGGGCTAGGACCTGAGTACTCCGGAACAGAGAGAGTGTCAGGTGTGTTCATTTTTGTGTCAAAGCCCAGTTTACAGACACATGTGACCAAGCCAAAGGGAGTCTGAACTCTGGGCTATTCACTCCATGCTTGGAGTCCCAAGACTTCCACATATGCGAGTAAGTGATGCTTAAATACCAATGATTCTTTACTGTGAAGGAGAGTCGTGTGTGTGTGTGTGTGTGTGTGTGTGTGTGTGTGTGTGTGTGTGTGTA